AGCGACACATGCTCGAGGGATCGCGAATATATCTCTCTCGGACGGAGGCGCGTCAAGCTTCGAAGGCTCGAAGAAAAGATCAGGGGGCTCTGTTCGTCGCCCACAGACGGAAGAGCCACGGGCGTCGAAGCGAGACGACCCGAGCCGATAACGCGCGACGTGGACGAAGACGGGAACAAAGGGGATCTCGATCCATCCGCGCGCCCAGTGACCCAATACCACGCGTACCGATCGACGCTGGGAAATGCTCGATAGAAACGATCCCGCGGAATTCGCAGACGAGCACGCCGACGTGCGCCACGATCCACGCAGGGCGAATCCCTACGCCGCATATCGCCGCGTAGCCGATTCAATCACAAGTGGCGCCACGAGGCGAGGAAGGGGGATGATGCGCGAAAGAGAAAGAGAGAGAGAGAGAGATGCTTTTGTCGACAGAAGAAGGAAAGGGCCTGGATGCGTTGGCGTTCGGCTTCCATAACACGGTAGCGGTGTATTGGAGCGACGTGCGGGCGCAACGATCACGAACAAAGAGAGAGAGAGAGAGAGAGAGAGAGAGAGAGAAAGGGAGGGAATGGCGAGGAGGGTAGGAAAGGAAGGGATGGAGGGGAGGAACTGAAACGAACGAATGAAATAACAATCCGTTCCGGCGGCTGGATCATCCCAGGCGGCGTGTGCTAACTAATGGCATTCAAAATTAGTCCTAGCCGCCGCGAAATTATTGAAACCTGATCCCGAACGGGCGGTGGATGTTCAAGGACAAGTACGTGGACCAAAGTTCCCCGGTGAAGATGCGGCCCACGGTAGCCAGGGCCGTTCCTCGCGACCGCAATTGCGGGGCCCTCCCGGCTTCGATATTAGTTTTCGACGTCCCACGTCTCGACCCTCTTTTCTGCCCCCTCTCCAAGAAGAAGGGACTGCGTTGCAGACCTCTCTCTAGGCCGACCCGTCGTCGCGAAAACGTTTAACTGGTTATTACGGTTATAGAGCGTGCGCGTATCCATAGCCTCGCGATAATCTATATTCGGTTTTGTTTTTCAGTTCCAAGGGACGATCCATCCTCCATTATGGGGGGAGATGTGGATGGGACTGGGTTAGGTTAGTTTTCGCGTTCTGTTCCATTTGATTTTATTCTCCTCCTCTTCCTTTTCCTCTTCGTTGAAAGAGGGGAGAGAGAGAGAGACTCTTCCGTCGATTTCGTGGTAATAACGTCGAATGTAATCTTCTGGGGGCCAATCAGTATACTACTACTCCCTCTCTATTCATTTATTTGTTCTGTTTCAGAACGATGGCGGAGGAGTGCGCGGAGTACGCGAAGGGGATGCTGGGATTGCTGCGAGGGCTATTAGCGGTTCATCGACAAGTAGTAATCTGTGTTAATTTATCTTGCCCTCGGTATTGGGTGTATAATCTTTAAACATATTAACTTTTTCTTTTAATCAAATCTGTTTCGATTATCGCAAAGGAGGAATAATAATATTGTCTATTTTATTTGTTGCGTTTTTGAATGAATAATCGTAAATTATTTTTTCTTAATACTCGCACCAAATCTTATTCAAACTTATTTAAATCTGTTTAATTTCAATTAAATAATCGTGCCACTTGATATTCTAATATAAAATACTGGCATACCATCGCAAATTTAAAAGAACGAAGAAAAATTCAAGCTGCTTTTCATTATCCATGATCCGACAAATCAAAGAGCAATATTAATTAATTCCTCCAAAATGAAAGCAAAGTTACGACAGATTTTACCCGGCACCCATTTATCAACCGCTTCATTAACTTCCCGCTTATCGATCCCCACGACGAATTCAAAAGAGCCGGGTCTGAAACCGATGATTGACTCGTAACCCACTTGACCGGTACACCTTCGATACGTTACACACAATTTCCCTGGCCAATAATTATACGCTATAATTAGAAATCAAAGCTATTCACGGGGCGTTAATGATACTTCCGCGTCGCCGTGTTAAATTTGTTCCAGCCTCTGCCCTCCCGAGCAATATTTTCACGCGATCCGTGCCCTCTCGCCCTCGGGTCTAAACGAGCCCTTCCTCCCCTGCCCTTCTTCGCCGGCCGGCTCGAGGCATTTCTTTTTTTTCTTTTTTCTTTTTTTTTCCCCTCGATGCCGCGTTCTAAATGCCGGTGATGAGATCATTTATCATCGTACGAAAACGCGAGTCTCCCTCCTGCCGTGGCCGGCATCACGCTTCCGCGCTTCGCTCGCCTCGTTCCCACGCGCGAGAGGACCGTGGCCGAAGATCGGGACACGCGGGTCCATCCGACATCCGGATCTCGTACAATACTCTAACGTGTCCTGCTTTTACTTGGGATTGGCAGGCGGGCATTTTCGTGAGGTCGACGAGCTTGTTACATGGAAAACTTCTTAGAAACGGTAAGAAACAAGGTATTTTCTCGTGTCGGAAGTTGTCGATTCTTCGTTGATTATTAATGTTATTTTGTAGGTTGTGGTAAGAAAGTTGAGGCTTAAGTTCGACGAGCATTGGTTTCGAATTTCGAGATTATACGATGTATTTTTATGATATTATCGCGCTGTTTGCGCTATGAGAAGATGGAGATAACTTACAGATAACGAGTTAATAAGAATATCATAGAAGAGCATAGATATTAAAATTACTTTTACTTAGTTTCAGGCCTAAGAAAATTATTTCAGTTTCGAGTTTAAGATCGTTAAATTACATACAAGGTTTCAGTATCTTTCATCTAACAGAATTTTAAAATTAAATGCGAGCGTGTAACGTTTCGACAAGGCGAGCATGAGAATATAAGCGACGATTGGAGGATCGCGTCACGATTGGTCCATTGGAAAGAATCATCGTTATTACGGGGAACTTTCATTTGACTTTCATTACACGAAAGTTCATCGCATGCCGGGCGAAGCGCGCACGCGTTACGTAACGCACACACGTTTGATGGACCATTTTCGAGCGATTAAGCCCGAGAAAGCACGACCGAGCTGGTTGCCGATTGTCTGGCTCGCCGCTGACTCTAATTAGTCACACCCGCGCGCAGGTGAATCACGTTCGCCGAGCGGGTTGCCTGCCTCGAGGCTCCTCGCGTTTATTCGAGGAGAAAGCGCGCGATGCGTTCGCCGCGATTTCGCGGACAAAACGAATTCTAATGGCGTGAACGCGACCCGCGTTTCATCCACACGTGCGAAACGAACGGTGTTTATATTCGTGTAACGTGCACGGCTCTTGATGTTTACAGCCGCGGGGAGATCAGCCGTTTTAATTTGATTCGACGTGGATAGTGGTCAAAATCGTCGTTTCGAAGGTAAATAACGGGAGGAGAATAAAACAACAGAAATTTGACAGAATTATATACAGTGTTTCTCAATCATTTTTTAACGTGGCCTTCCTTCGAGATAATTAAACAATCTCTTTTGATATTTATAGAATTTGTTTATCGACATAAGTAAATAATAAGTGTGTAAATTACATAGATTACACTGTTATATAAACTATATAATCGAAAAGAACACGATAATGCGAAAGAATCGAGACAGCGCCTTGGCAAAGGGTATGTAGACCCCTGTTCCGGGGATCACCTCCACGGACTCGAATCTCCGTAAAGATTTTTTTTAACTTTTATGCGTAAAATCATCTCCAAAATTGAAAAATGAATGAAAAAATGAGATGAATGAACGAAGCATATAGGAATGTTTGTAAAAGATCAATAATGTTTCGATTAAAAGTCCAAGACGTGAGAAGAAATTTTCTATTAACTAATTCAGGAAATTCCATTGTCGAAAAAATTAAAATACCTTGTTCCTTGTCGAGTCGTCAGAACTTCCACTGCCTACGCGAGGTTTCTTGACGGAACCTCCGGGACAGTGCAACCTCAAATTTGTTTGAACGAATCCAAGCAACAGCTGGAACGAACGCTACAAGTAGCGGGCTCCGTGTGTCTCGCCCACGTGCGCCTGTTGAGGACGTTGAGGCTCGCGCCGCTGAATTTGCATAATGCGGAATCGAATTAATGGATTTAGAGCTGACGTCGATAAATATATCGGCACGAATTTGCGCTGCTCTGAGCCGTTCAACCGCTTTGATTAGGATGAATGTAGTCATTGTTCTGCGTTTTCGGTATATTCGGTTATAAAATAATAAAAAATTTAAAAAGAAAGGATAAGAAAAATACAGATAATAAAATGGATTACACGCTATCATCGCGAGGATGGAAAGATGAACAAAACGAAAGTACACAAACGATATCGATCGCTATTAAAAATGACAGATCACCACAATCGATTACATTTTAAACAATTTTAACCGATCGATTAGAAATCTCCTTTGGCGTCGACGTACCAAAATTCGGCGTTATTAAATTTCACCGTCATCTTCTATCGAAACGCATCAAAGCGGAACGTCAATTACGCGCGAGAGATGGACCGAGATGACGCGCGCACCTAGATGGCACTACCGAGATTGTTATTCGAACATTAGATTCCAACATAAGACCGGCGAGCGTAGTAATAAACGAAGAAAGGTGTTAGATACACCCATCTAGCCCCGTGATCCACCGTTATTCCTGCAGTCGCGATGACCCTGCAACGCGGGTTTCCCATCGTTAAACCAATAAGTAGCAAAAAATATGGCAAACACAAACGCCGATAGCCAAATCCGGCGCTGTTAAAGTACGTCCACTAATGCGTACCGGGCTATAAACTTTCAAATACGAGTGGTAAATCAGCGAGGACGGTAAATAGCGGAGAGAACAGGAGGTGGAAAAAATGAGGAAAGGTCGTGATAGGGAAATATCTCGGCGCGCTTCCATCCGCTTGTCCCGAAGCGCAAAGGCCCCCATTACTTGTGTCCACAATGTCGAGATATTAACCTGCTTCGGCTGAATGGCCACACGGTTCAGCTCGGCCCGGCGAGCTCCGGTTCGAACAACAACCTGTGCCAGCGAAAGGGGTAGAGGGGTAGAGGGGGGAGGAGGGGACAGATACGAGAAACGACCACACTTTGCTTCACCTTGCGCACGTCGTGCGGAGTCCACGAAGCTGTGCCACTTGTCCTGGAATTCTCAGGGACGAGCAGCGTCCGTACGAGTGACTCGTCTTCCGCCTTCGATTCTCGGTTCCGCTGAAATTCTACGGACGTGGCTCCGTTCGAGGGCAACCGGGGGAACAGCTCGAGGTTTTGGACGAGTTTGATGGTTTCGAGGATTCGTGTAAGTATTCAGTTTGTCGATTCTGGATGTGGTTTTGATCTGAGAGAGGTACAATAAAACTATCTATGTCTGAACAAATGAGACACGTTAGAAAGTAAAAATTTAAATATGTTGTTTAAACAAAAGAAAATGATAATATTTCAATAATAAATATCTCAGTATTTTTAAAAAATGGATAGTTTTAATATTGTACCTCTCATTTGATATATTTGCTATTGATTTATTTAAATTGCAATTTTATTATTAGAACAATTTTATTAATGGATCAAGAGTGGAAAATTTTAGATACAAATATAAGGATTTATTTTGAATAATCTGTTATAAAAAGTTGAAATCATTATAGATAGAATTCATGATCAGAATTCAGATTAAAAAATCTTTCTTTCCTCGCCCTAATATTACGTCATTTATTATATTTGTACTAATTTTATATTTGTACTAATCCCGTTAAGAAATGAAATGACACGTAGATCATTTCCCACATTAATCCTAAAATACCGAATAGGCACGAGGGGGATGGCCGATACCTGGCCATATCCCTTAACATTCAAAGAACAAGCACACTATCCAATAATTCAAGAACCAACATCGCCGTGGTACCTGCTCGAGGTACCTAACGAACCATTCCTCGAAATAAACTCTGCTCAAAATCTACACTGACCACTTGGGGGAGAGGGAACCCCTCCTCCCCTCCCTCCCCTCCCCTCCACTCTCCCCCACTTCACGATTCTCATAAACAAATGTCGTTGTCGTGGGTCGAGTCGCCTTCCGTATTCGAGGGACGATTCTCTCGAATTCTGCAAACGTACTCCATATGGTGGAATAAATAAGATCGGGCCCGGAGTCGCGGCAATTCGAGCAATTCCAGCCACGTGCACGTTGGGATCGGAGCGCAAGGAGAGGCGACGCACGAGTACCCCGAGATATTTCCAACAAGTCGGAGGGTACACACGGCTACGGCCGTCCAAAGGAGTAGGAGGGGGGCTCTCGACTTCGATGCGTGAACTCCGCGTACCACGTGGGATGCGGAAAAATGCCGGCCAGTTTATTGGAATTCACTTTGTGTTACCGCACGCGGTTAGGCCGATAATGATCGTTCGACTGGCGGTCGACTTGTGCCTACGGTCCCCTTTGAAGCGGCTCATTTTCCACCAGCTTTCCTTTTCCGCCTTCTCTGAATAGTGCGTAATGAATTGTAATACAATGTCCGATTATCGGTATGTGGATCGGCGGGAGGATTGATCGATAGATCTGTTATCGGGGAAAGGCGAGAATGGAACGTTTCGTGAATAGGCGGCGTGGATTTTCCTCGATTCTTTCGAGGTTAGTGGTCGGTACGCGTGTAATTGATACCGATTAGGTATGCTGGTTCTATGTGGGTGATGTGTATATTTCTGGAATCGCGATACCGGGTGATGGTTTGAAAATTTAATTCTAACTCATTCGTATGTTCACGAAGAAATCGCTGCGAGGATGATAATTTTTAATCATTAAACGGAAGCATTAAATGGAATAGAATGCGTTATTCGAATCATTTAACTTTTGACTCATGGAGAAAGGAAATTCTAAAATCTGTATATATTTAATATTTTAATCTTAATTTTGAAGAATGAATTAAAGTTTTCAAAGACTTTTTTATTGAATGTTTTATTCAATCACGTTACTACAATCTCACCAGCGCGAAATATCCACAAGAAATCAGCACTAACTATCGTAAAACAAAATCGCATGCACACCTCGTTCCACGTACCGTGACGATCCACTTGCGAGCTATCAGAGAGTCATCGTTGCGTCATTCGGGCAGAGATGATCGTCCAATTACTTTGTAAACAGTACATAAACTGTTAGCACAGAAAACCTCTCGCCAAAGATTCATCTCACGACTCGACTCGTGGTTACTTTCTAACGAACGATAGAATTAACGCGAGCACGAAGGAACACGCCGTTCCGATCCTCTGATTTTATGCCGGGTTATCGATCCTGGAACGATACCTACGATGCCGGGCTACGCGGGTGCACACGGTACGACAATGAGTCTACACGGCGGCCCACGCGAGCGCGACCGTGCTTTCGCAACGCTGCCGATAATAAGGATAATAACTCGATTTTATTGCCCACCTTTGCCCTTCCCTTACTCTCTTTTCTCTCTACGAAGACATTTTCTATCGTGGCTCGACGCGACCCTCCTCGCACAATGCGCTCTTGTCGTTCCACTTATCTCATAATATACCATGGCATCGATAAATGCAACCCCAAGATTCAATATCGGATAATGAGGCTATGGGAATAACGAAATTGGATTCGTCGCGTTGCTCGCGAGATTATGGTCTTTTCTTGTCGTACACGGTTTTAATTAATAGGAGGGCGAAGTTGTCAATTAATTTCTCTTTACATCGATCTCGATGATCTTGATACACGTTGCAAAAAAAGACAACTTTTTTCCTTTGCATCTTGTGATCTTGTGGAACGGTAAATAAAAAAAATATACAGGGATAATATACAGGGAATCTTGGCTACTATTATCATTTTGGTATTTTTCTTCGTAGTGAAATTTTATTTTAAATAAAAGTTGAATAGTTTGGTATCGTTCGTTTGGTATAATATAATAAGAAAGAAATTTGTCAACTAAGAAGATTGTTTCATCTTATTGTAAAATATTATACTTAGGTTTTCTTGTGTAACGGGAGTGTCCACAGTGTACATGGCATTTCAGTAAAACGAGTTCAATGGAAGTTTCTTTGGCGAGCACGAGAAACTTAATGGTCTTGTTCAAAGTTGTAAACGAACATTGTGTAAATTCAACAACTGTTTCATTGATCACCACCTACGCTTCATAATTTCTTTTTCAACTGATAGCCAGTTCAATTTACAATATATACCGACATGATACAACTCCGTTTCTCGCTAGTGGATATTTAAATCTTGTATGTTCGAAAACTACACCTTCTGAAATTGTATCTAACGATTTACATAAGATGTTATAGCTTACTGTTTACTAAATGTCATATAAATTCTTACTTGGTCAAATAATAATTAATAAATTTACGAGTCATCATGTGTTCAATATACTTAAACTTTCTTATATGATCATAATTCGTTGAATTCTCAAATTTCTTGACCTCTCAATTAAATTATCTTAATTCTCGTCATCAAAATTAATCGAATTTGGAAAGAGTAATTTTAAAAACTACTTCAAGGATTGGAGTACCGTGCATGAATATTTTCTTATTGTCGCCAACACGAGGAATGCTCGAACACGCGTGGAAAGCATCGATCGTGAAACCTGGATGCACCGAAAAGGGTCAAATAAGAGGCGCGCGTCACACGCCAGCATTTACGATGACCTAACAATGCATTCTGTTACGGGCAAAGAGAGGCGTAAATATGCTGGCTGCATAAACGACCGAGGCACACGGCACGCTCGTCCATGCAAACTCGACCTCGATTTTCCACCGACACGACAAACTTGCATCATCGTAAAACATTTCCCAGCGTGACACTTTATAGTGCACTCAATCCGCGTTAAGTTTCGCGAGATTTCCTCGAGATACTTGAACGCCTCCTATCTGGACATCGATGAAGTTGCCACCAGGATTGGAAATTGAAAATAGTACGTTTGATTTCTTGATCGTATTCTTATTTATTTCCCTTGGTTTCTGCAACATTTATTTTAAAATAAATTAGTTTAAAATAATTAGTTTAAATTAATTTAGTTTAAAATAAATGGATTTGTGAAATAATTGTTGTATAAAGAGAATGATATTCCTTTTTAGAAATGTTTGGATTTTAATTCTCAACGCATCTAACGATATCTCATAGGCTATAGTAGTTGAGGTTAGGTTTATTAACATCTTCTTAAAGTTATATTAAACGCAACAATAAGTAACAATAATACGATGCCATAGGCATCAGTCGCGGAATCTGTTTAATGTTATCCTACGATAGCGATCCATTAGCATTAATGATTCACGATTTTACGGTAAACTTGCGAAGTTGGCATTAAACCCTGCGGCGCGTACATAGTTTGCGAAGTTGAAGCTAACAAGCTATTGCTTTCCTGTATATTTATCCTCCTTCTTATTCTTTTTAACCTATTCTCTACCTTTTTTCTTTATCACCATAAATATAATTTCTCAAAGTAATAATCTCAATAGAGATCAATATTGATATTGTTTTTCTATCAATCTATCAACATTAATAAAAGTATTTAAATACCATGCTGACACAATCTATCAAATCGTACTTATCTTCCCTCAAAATACGACTTATATTCGAAAGTTCGAATTCCAAAAATTTTACAAAATTATCCCTTTTCTTTTGATTTCAACTTCGCATGAAAGAACGTCACTTTTAGAAACCGTGGCCATTTATACAAACCAGATCCTCCAAAATAATAGGTAACCAAGATCACATACTTCTCTCCTTCCGTAGGTGTGAACGCGTTTCTCGAGGCAAGTGTTCGCTGACGAGGTGGACAGAGCGTAGAAAAAGAAAGAAAACGGGCTCGTGCAACCGTGAAACGCGATACATTGTCGATAGCCGGCCAGATATCGATCTCTTACATTGTGAGGCGAAAGAACGATCCCACTAGCGAAGCGTGAAACGCGTCTGGGCCGTGTGAAGCGTGGGTGTCCACGGTGGTGAAGTCGGCGCGAGTGAAACCGCGAATGGATACCGATGAACATTGAAAAAAAAACGCTAATTCGGTGTCTGGTTCTTCGATTATTCATCTATCGGCGTTCGTTAAGTTCTTGTTCCTACATAATTGATTCCATTGGATCCGTGCGAGTGATCGTAGATCGCCTCTGGCTGCCGCCTCGGCCTGTCCACGCTCCTTTCCTTTGTATTTGTCGTGGTCTACTTGTGAACATTGATTTGTTGCCGTGTTGCTTTTAGGAAATTGGATGAATTATTAGGTGGGTTATTAGGACGGTGATTTGTTGGATCGAACATGGGCTTGGCCTGGGACGCTTGGAATTTCGATGACATTTGTTACGGACAAAAGTAGAAATCTATTTATCTATTTATACACGTAAGGAGTAGCAAGATTTTCGAGTCGTGCTCCTTGTCTTCTATACCTGCCGTTGCTTATTCATTGTATATCCTTCTCTGATATAATTTACACGATGCAATTCGATTGAAATTTAAATAAGTTATGCGACGAAAGTATCATTTTATAATTTAGTTAAATATAATAATTTTACAATACAAAGTGGAATCTTACATAATTTCATATTAACATTTTCGATAATAACTAGATTAAGAATCGAAGATCATTATAAAAAAAAAGAGAGAGAAAAACATGAATCATCATTTGATCATCAAGCAAAAATACACGTAACGAAATATTTTTCTTCTCATTTTCTTCTTTGCAATTCTTAAGCGCGAACGTGTTAATCACTCTCTCTCTCTCTTTCTCGTGAACCGTTTCTTCTTCAAAAATTTCTCATTCAATTCCCAATGGATCTGAAACCATTGAAAGCATCGACATACATGGCAAAAAATAATCTCTGGTTTTCTCCAATCGTATATATCCGACTTTTACCGATCCAAAAGCGTCCACTTGACACCGTTAAATTTCCGTGAAACGCCCATCCGTTCCAGTGATCGATGCACGAGAACCGTTTTGATCGTTGGCCAACCCAACGTTTTCTAAAAAGAATTGCGAGAATCGAGGTAGAAGCGCGAGATTACATCGCGACAAATCGCGGTGGCCGCTTGTCGGGTTGCGACACACGGAGTGCACGCCTAGAACCTCGAGTCCAACGGTCGATTAAAAGCAGATTTGTTGGGGTTCCACGCGTGCTCTGCCTGTTTCGGGCGAAAACGATTAAAGGTTGCCGCGGTTCTCTCTCTCTGCACGAAAACACGCGAAGCTCGCACATTTATTTCGTTCCCCTGAAACTGTTTTCCGCGAGAAAGATACGTCCGCTCGACCCGCTTCGCTTTCACCGTTGACTAACATTGTTTGTAATTGCTCAAATTACCGCTCGCGACAGTTCCAAGTTCCAGTTACAGTTGCCTAACCTCGATCACCCTTGGGTATTCACCCCATTTTCCTATCTCTCTTTCGTGGATTCGTAGATTGATGGGGCCCGTTCGATTTCTGACGTAAACCTATTAATTTTAGAAGAGAATTTCTCTTTTATGGTATGTTCCATACTGTTTGCGGGAAGAAACTTTTTTTATTTTTTTCTTTTCTTCGTTTTTTTTCCAACGATTGGACTTTTTTATTTGATGTTGCAATAAAAGTTGCAATGATATAAATTTGTTGAATTACTTATGATTGGAACAATGAGAAGTGTACGTGTAAAAAATAATTGACAGAATATCTTTTGTAAATATTATCCTTTTCCTAACCAACTTGTTTAATATATATTTCCTCCGATTGTGAATTCAATAGTGATTCATTCGATAATTATATTAAAAACGTATAAATTATCTAATAAAAAAAAAAGTCTATATTTCGCATGCAATTTCACAGCTGAGCGATAAATATAATTGCAACAAAATCATCGTAATAAATTAGTATAATATAGCGGAGATTGAAGGTGAATAAAACCAATCTATCATATCTATCGAACAGAAAAAATGGCCTTAAAAGCATAATTCCGCAAGGTAATCTTTGCACAATCTTAAAAACAGGCCGAACAGGCTCATACATCTTTCAATCCCATAGCACACGATAACATCGTAACGTTCAGATCGCTACAATTCATCTATAACATTGTACCTCGGGCGACGAACGAGTTTTGCACCAGGTTTCAAACACAAGCGGGGAGAACGAGAACCTAACGCCAATTATCACGTAACGCGAGCACGTAATACACAGACACGCGGAACGTCTCGCGATAGCGTACATCAAGATCACCGGTTCTCCGCATCGCAATTAGAAAGAAATTGATTCTGTTTGCAACGGCCTTGGCTGTTTCTCAAGGTAGTCACCCCGATATTTCGAGGAGATTGCAGGTAGTCGTGGCCCGAGGCAGCACGCTGGCGCCTGGCCGGCGTTTCCTGGCCTGTCATTACCATACGCACTCATCCGTTGCACGCACGATCGTGCGTGAGCACGTGCACGCGTGGGAGTCGGGCCAAACGACGTCCAACAGTCTCGTGAGTTTTCGCGGGAAACTCGGCAATGATATAAATAACCGCGTGGTCGCCAATATGGCGGACCGTTTTTCGATTATTCTCACTTCGAATTTTTGATTCGAGAGGAATAAGTTTTTATCGGATTTTCATTTGACGTTGAGAGTTTTTTTTAGATATAATTAGAAGGAACTTTCTTTTTGGTGATTACGATATCGATTGATTATGATGAAGTAAAGTAATTTTTTACGTGCGAGTTGTTTCGAGGAATTTGTTATCACGTGATTGCCAATATGGCGGATCGTTTTTTGATGGCTTTCACTTCGAATTTTTAGTTTGAGCTTTTATTGGGTTTTCATTTCATATTGAAAGTTTTTTGAATATAGTTAGAAGGAATTTTTTAGTAGTATTAATGAATTATATTGGAATACTTTTGTTTTATACTTGTATCGTTTCATTTTTTATTTTGCTCTTCTTTATAAATCCTTATTAGATTTTATTAATTTGATATAAAGAATTATTTTTTTCTATATTTATGAGAATTCTTTTGGCTTTTTTTTATTAAATATACTATTCATGGATAGTAATAGATCATTTAATTTTGGAATATCTTTAAATTATTATCATTCAATAGATATTCAAATCTTTTCTCTCCTCTATAAAACTCTTTATTATCTTATATAATTTACATTACTTTTATTCACAATATTCCGCAGTATTCACGGCATTTTACAATATTCTACGTTTCATTATCCTTTATATTTATTCATTCGAGGGAACATGCTTTCTCTCAATTGAACAAATACTCCGTAAAAACGTTCTCTTCTACAACGAATCTGCAAGAAGATCGATAAACTAGAGTCAATGATAAATTTCGATGCAAGAAATCTCTCGATCTTCTCCAGCGGAGACACCGTTACAAGTTACGCAAGCTCGCATCGCGCACACGAGATTCTTTCTCGTTTCACGAGTTTTCACTCGAAGAAATAACACCAATAATCATTTGTACGTCTCCATTAGGAGCTCCGTGTGTCCATCGATGAAAACTCGCGCCGGGTTGGAATGCCGTGAACGCGTGAAACCGACAGCCAGCAATTTACCAAGCGTTTTTTTTTTTTCTTTCTTTCTTCTTTTTTTTCAAGCTTCGCGAACAATGGCAGCCCCGTCTCTTTATTGCCGATGAGTATGCATTGGCTGCGGTCAAACCTCGTCACCGTGTGTGAAACTCGTCGCGATTATTTGTGGATTTATTTTCAAAGACGGGAGAGAAGACGGAGTTGGTTGGTCCATGGTATTCGTGGCGAATAAGTGTACTGGACACGGTTGTCGGGAAGCAATGCCATCCTCGGCCTTTCACCGCGTTACCGATGCACCTGAACGCAGGTGCATCGACTCGGGGTGTAGGAAGAGGCTAAGAGGTGCATCGCGATGGCCCTGATTTCGAATTATTTGTTAATGCCGCTATATCAAATTTCGCAAGAGTTGTTCACAATTGTATGAGAGATGTATCATAAAAGATGTTAATTTTAAAAAGTGTTTTTTAAACAATAATTCTTTCAATTTATATACTTCAATGTTAATTCATCTTCAAAATAATTTTATTAAAATATAAAAAAGTTTTGTCTTCTTTATCTATATGTTTTTAATTATATATACTGTATAACAGTTTAAAAGAGTCTGTAAATATTTTATTCACATTATTGTACATTTATTCTCATTAATTGGAACTGGATCATTTTGATCTGTTATATTGCTTATATTGTTTTCAGAAAATTAATAAGAGACATTATCCATCTTTAAAAATATACATATCACATATCTTCTTCCATAACACAAATACAATATTATCATGAAAATAATTCTACTATTAACCAAAATTTTAATGGAAAAGAGTTACATACACGTTATTAAAAATAAAATTCATCTTCCTGTTCCTTGTCAAATAATCCTAATATCATCAGCCAAATGGAAGAGCATCGTTAAAAATGATTCTAAAACGTTAAAATTTATTTTCAGATAAAATTCCCCTGTACACATATTCGTCCCTCGATACCGACTTATCGCATTAGTCCAGCTGACGAATCCCCGACAGCTCGAGCAGCATAACGATGCTATCTCGGGCACGATTTCAACGAGCATGGCCCATTAAGCGGGATAGCCGGTGTCTAACGGAAGCGTGTCAATCAGCTAAGACCTCGCAGCATCGTGTGTACCCGCGATCTATCGACACGTTTCTCGATCGTGCGAATCGTCGCGCGAGCGGACGACACGAGGCTCTCGAGTGCCGGAAGGCCGTACGCGGCAGCCTCATCATGGAGGACTTGAGAAATAGACACATTACGGCGTGTAACTCGGACTGGGCTGGCTGTCATTAGCCGCGTCATCCCGTGGAATGCCGATACGTGAATCGAGACCATCTTGCATACGTTTGGCCTTGAATTTATCGAAGTGAGTTCAAATTTTCTACTTTAATTAAATTATTATAGTTTAGAGATTCATTTTCCTGGAGAGAAATTTTATTTTTCTGGAATGAAATTTTTAGAAATTTCGTGATAACTTTTCGTGATAATTTTGTTACGAATTATTTTTATGGTTTAAGAAAAATGGAGTTTCTCTCTCTTTTTTCTTTTATATATATATCTAAAGATCATTTGCTTTTATTAGAAGCATTATTATTACAATTATGCCGTACATTATATCGAAAAACCACGTGAAAGTCTTTATATACTCTTACCGGAGTATAACATTGTATTGATTCTCAATCACTTACATCTCTTATCTTACCATTTCAATTACTTTCGTAATACAACCGAATACGAGTTCCCGTATTTAATTTCTACTTCTCCTCGTACGTTCGTATAATAGTACATAGATACTTACGATAGTACATTGCCAACACTGCATCGACTTCACAAAACAAATTATCCACTCTACAAATTTCCCCTCGAATCCTCCATGGAATCAATCAAACCGTATCAATCGATCAGAGAGAACGCGAACCCAATCTCCACTCCCCGTGGCCTCCGCTCGCCCGTCGAGTTTCTCGATCGTCGTCCGAGGTGGTCGACTCGCGGGAGGCCGAGGAGCGGACGAAGAAGAAGAACCGCGGATCTATTTGCCAGAAATGGCAACGGGCACGGTAATGTGGAACGTCTACGGAGGCCTTTACGCCGAGGCTGACCTTTACGCGTCTCCGGAGAGAGGGATGGACCCGCATATCGGCGCGGCTCTCCTCCACTCGCCTCGATTATCGCTCGCTCGATCGATGCGCGCGGCGAACCGTTCAATTTTCACGCGCCAATCCGCCGAATTTCCGCTCCACGCGACTCGCGCCTGTGATTTACCAACGTCCTTCCTTATTCGAACGAAAGCAAAGGGGAAATTAATGGAAATCGATTTATATAGAAGATACCATCTTCGTGATTTAAATATTCAATCTTTTAATTATTATCGTATCCACCGTTTGTTTTATGCATTATGTTTGTTGCTTGCTGGCTTCAATTTTCACGCGCCAATCCGCCGAATTTCCGCTCCACGCGACTCGCGCCTGTGATTTACCAACGTCTTATTCGAACGAAAGCAAAGGGGAAATTAATGGAAATCGATTTATATAGAAGATACCATCTTCGTGATTTAAATATTCAGTCTTTTAATTATTATCGTATCCACCGTTTGTTTTATGCATTATGTTTGTTGCCTGCTGGCTTCGATCTTTAATAAAAGTAGGTGGTTTGAGATTATAGATTTATTTTTTTTTTGGGGGAGGTTAGAAATTTTGTGGATCGTGATATGAAATTGTTAGGTTGTGTAGGATAAGTTAGTTTAATAAATTTAACGACATTAAAATAGATTGTTAATAGTACGTTTGAAAAGGATAATCTTCATTTTACAATTTATTTATTTTTAAAATACATAATAATGGAAAATATATTTTCAATTGTATTGTATATAATTTGTAATTGTATTATGAAATCTATTTTATGTGATTGAAAGCGTTTAAAGAAGTATACGTGTTTGATTTCATTTTGGAAAGTTATCTGTTTACGTTATGACAACGTTGAATCATCGAATGTTTTGTCTCACCCCCTCTTCGTTGATCCTTTCTCGTTGCCGCTTATGCAATCGTATACGTATCATTGCGAGCTGCATAGGTGAACGACGATCCCGTTGATAGCCGGTCGTGTTCTTACCTTGATTCCCTCTCTGGAAACCTGTTAACGCTTAATAAGTAATGGACTTATTTGCCGATCTCCGCGATACCGTGCCTTATATAATGGGCTTTTCTGCTTTTATTCTCTCGTTTGTTTATCCTGTTCGCATTACCCTTCGCTATGAATATGTTAATTATCGTCCATCGTCTGTAGCAATCACGTGCAAACAATACGAGGAGACCACCGCTTGCGTTTAAATTACGATTACGTATAATATCGAAATGATCTTAAGCTCTGTTGTAACCTAGATACATGTAGATCTACCAATCTATTCTACCTCTTGTACACTTTCGAATTTCGTTTTTGAGAATAATATTAATAAAAGATTGCGAGAGGATTTCACACAATTACAATTAAATATTCCATCGAATAATTTTTACTTCGTCCTGTTAAAATATTCAAAATATTCAAAATAACTGTTCTTTCATTCATCTTTTTCTCTTATCCTTTCTTTACTCAAAGGATTAATTAAAATCCAAATACTTTTTCCCACAATTCTTTCGTTCCCCTTTTCTTCCCTTTTTCTACAAATATTCAAAGTTACAATCACAATTCTTCCTTTTCGTTTCCCTATTCTTTCCCCACTCATCGACGATCTCCATTCTAATCTTCGTTCCCCAAAATATTCGAAGGGTTGATTAATAAACCCAAACAACTTTTCTAATTCTTCCGTTTCCCCTTCCCCCCTTTTTTCGACGATCCTCTCCATCGGCCAAACAGATTCTATCGAGTGACATTTAGCGTTCGACACGAGTCGATATCATCTCCTCGGGGATACGCGGCGCGCACGTAAATCGATTCGACTCGATTTACGTGCACGCTGTTCGCGCGATGTATCTCGGGTACACGATCTCCCCGCGGCGTTAATTATTTCCGTTCGCATTATACCGCATGTTAATTAACTGTAACGTCGTGTGCACGCCCCGAAAAATAATTTTAGGTTTCGCCGTTCCCGCGCCCGATGGGCGTGCACCAGAAAATCGCTCGCGCTCGGGCACGTGGTAATTAATTCGATACGCCGCGTCGGATCGCGTTATCATTATTAAGCGCGTGATCGAGCGTTATCGGTACGTTCGATCCAGTCTTACTCCCGGAAGAAAAATCGGCCAACGGTGCTTCGATTCGTTTCAACGTTGGTTTAATGCCACGATGCCAACGCGGTGCTACATTGTGGAGGGCAGGGTGAAACGATTTATATATATATATATATATATATGGGTCGCGAAGATATATATCGGTGGAACGTTTATCACAGAAGTTCGTTTGTTAGAGGAAGAAGGAAGATCGATCTATATACGTTATGGTTTTACGATCGTAAATTATTTAAGACGGTCGAAACAGGTCCTCGATCGATCTTTGATGTTTCTTTTCGGAGATGGGAAAGTGGTACACGAATTTTGTGGTAATATCGATGGAATTTTTTTCGTGAAATTGAGAAAAGATAAATGTTATATTTATTACGTTCGTATAATTATTATTTAATTTAAGTAAACGATTCAATTTCTTCGTTTTACGTACGTAGAATATTTTTAAAAGAAAACATTTTATAATATTAAGTATAATATTATTTATTCGAACGAATATTTTCAAAAAAATATTTATTGAAATATTTAAATATATATATACTTAGAATATTTATTAATATTCGATAATAAGGCTTTAGATAAAATATTTTATAAGGGTTTATTCTATTGGATGTTTTTATAAAATAAAAATTCAGACAACGTAACATTCCCTTGCGTAACTCATGGTATGGTGCGGAATGGTACCTCGCCTACAGGTGGAGGAGGATCGAACGAGTGACCTAACGATACTTGCGTTCGATACGCTGTAACGTTATAGATATCCGAGCACCTGGAGAGCCATCGCCGATTACGCCCAACGTCGATCGGGCCTGTGAAACGAAACAATTGTTCTTTGCAGCCGCGGGAGAAATGAATGACTTGAATATTCATTCTTCTTTTTTCTGTGTTCACCAGGTGAACGAGACGAGTCGGTCGACTCTCAGGAAGGAGGGGAATAAGAAGAATGTCAGTTCGGTAAAGGGAGAAGAGACACGCGATCTTGTGAAATGATTCAATTCGCCAAGACTTTCGAAAATCATCGTAAGAAAGATTGTCGGGATCGAGATAGTTCGGGCTGATGTTATCAACCATGGAAGAGATACACAGATGATTAATGAAGATACATCTATTATTTTTTTACAGTTCGAGTGGATAATATCATATAATTTATTTAGATTTTAAATAGAGGAATTGTATATAGTATTCTTTCATAAGTATATTTATAAAAATTGTAATATGGTGTACATGTACTTTATTGTCCAATAAATTATATATTTAACAATCGTTGAAGTACCATTTTTTCCATATCCCATTAAAAAATATGAACTCTGCTACATTCGATAAACATTTTTAAAAAATTTACATTTTTTTTTCATATAAAAATAACGTAAAAGTTAATTCAATCATATAATTTATTATTTATAAATATTCCAAATCAAGAAAAAAAATGATAGCAGTAAAAACGTACGAATGGAAATGGTAAGTATAAAATAAATCTATAAAATCCAATTTTAAAACATATTCTTCTAATAAAAACTCAAAAAACTGGATGAAAAAAGAAATTAATTCGGACAACAGGTATAATATATTATAAAATCAGCTTCAAAAATAATAGAAATATAAAGCTTGACATCCTAAAAAATAAAAAAAAATAATAAAAAACGCACTAAAAATAACAGCATTAACGACAGAAGATAAGTGTGAAAAAAAAAGATATCAAAATTTATATAAATTCCGAAAAAAAAGAATTAAAAACTGTGAAAAAATGGCAACACTAAGAAAAATGATAAAAAGGTAAGTACAAGAAAGGTAAATATATGTTAAAAGTAAAAAAACTCCTTTTAAATTATATTCTCCTAATAGAAAGTCGAAGTGTCGGCTAAAAGTTTCGTTCGTTTCAATAT